GATAGGAATTTTGCTGCGGGACTTAACTGAAAAAAGTGATAGTTAAACTGTAAGAAAACCAGGGCGCAGGCGCGGCAATCATATACAAAAGCGAATAGTGCATAATACCTTTCTCTTTCTCCCTCTTTCATTCCTTCTCTTTCTATTACCACTCCACCCTGCGAATGCATAGCATATACTCATGAATTCATGGACAAGCACGTGGCGAATACTCACATTATAAATACATTTCACTCGTGAGTAGCCACGTGTTTTTCATATGATTTTAAAATGGTAAAAATAACAATTATGAATTATAAATATAGTGACAACGGATGGTGAACTGATAAGTGACTTATATGTCACCTGGCGGTGATGATAGTGGAAAATTACACTAGTATACAGTCAATATGCAACTGATTGGCTATTGGTGTTTTTATATTAAATTAGGTGTACTGACAATCAATTCATATTTAAAAATTCCGTACCACGTAAGATTTTTAAGAATTTCAAAATTATTTTTTTACGTAGTATTAAGTAAATTTTTTGTTCTACTTGCGCCAAATCCATATATACTTTGAGTTATTTGTTAGTCTGTATGTCTTATCTGTATTCTTTCTTGTGTATCAATTTAAAACTTGAAGGTAGTTTGTATATTTATTATCGTGATAGCCGTGGAAAGTGAGATTTTTTTATTAAAATGTCTAAAGTACGAAAACGTGGTTGTAAATCGACTGATTCTTTTTGATATGTTTGTGGCTTGTATACACCTTTATCTCATGCCAGATTAATAACTAAAGTGAATAAATTAGCATATCTCAAGTGTTTTGGTTTTCTTATAGTGAATCAAGATCGGAATTGGACTCCTCGTATTTGTTGCCAGACTTGTATGTCAAACTTAAGCCACTGGCTTTATGGAAATAGATCATCAATGCCCTTGGCTATTCCGATGATGATGAAACGACCCGTTCCTCATGGCGAAAATTTACAATTCCCGTTTCACCATTGCCACAGGACTTAGATACAGAACTTGGACGTTGTGCTGTTGATGATGCTATAGAAGAGAATATTACATCCCGTAGAAGAAGCAAAGAGTCTCCTGTGTATCAGATTTCCGAAGATGAAGAAGAAAAGAAAAAACACATTTGATCGAGCAGCCTGAACTTAATGATTTAGTGCGTGACCTTAACTTATCTAAACAACATGCAGAACTTTTAGCGTCAAGGTTACAGCAGTGGAATTTACTGGCCAAAGGTACAAAGGTCACCGCGTTTAGATACCGTAATGAAGAGTTTGCCTCTTTCTTAACATTACGAGATAAAATTTGCTTTTGTACTGATCCTGCAAGTGTTATGGAGAAGTTAGGCTATCAACATAATCCAAAAGAGTGGCGTTTATTCATAGACTCATCTAAGAAAAGTTTAAAAGCTGTTTTGCTACATAATGACAACACTAAGTCTTTAATTCCACTTTCCCACGCTGTTGATATGAAGGTGTTACGGATTGCCAATGCATTGCCCACACTCTAGTCAAACTCTAGTCACACTATTACAAAATTGCAACTACATTGCTCACTCTCTGGTCACACTGTTATACAGTTGCAACACTCTAGCCACGCTATAAACGGAAAATGTGACAACTCATGCTAATTTTCAAGTCAATCGGAACACTTCATTTTTTACACGTGCAAATCAATATTTTTCTACTTTTCTAATTTTTTGGCTCATCTCGTGCATTTTGTAAATTAATCGTTTTAAAGAAACAATAAAATCAAGTGTATTAAGAACAATGGCTGTGTATAAAGTGAGGGCTGATTTACTAGATCAGTCCTTATGGTAATAAACGTGGGGTGCAACACCCAAACCCAATATTAAACAGCAGGAAACTTATGAAAGTATATCATCGATTTTGAATTGCACAAACTACAACACCTACAAGTGGCAGATACAGTTGCGGTCAAAATAATAGTACTGCTACTACTGCACATAGTTAAATGTTTCTATTTTTTCGCGTTTTCTTTTTTGCCCTTTATTCTCCTTAATATAATGTTTTATAGACAATATGTCAGACGACCCGCTAGTTCCGAATACAACCCGAAATACACAACTAAAACTATTAAACATGGAGGGTCAAGTATTATGATTTGGGCATGTTTTTCATTTTATGGTGTTGGACCGATATACTGGATAAAAGAAATCATGGATCGTACTGTGTATGTTCGAATTATGGAGGAAATCATGCTCCCTTTTGCCAGCGAGGAAATGCCACTACTTTGGGTCTTCCAGTAGGGCAATGACCCAAAGCACACAAGCAAGTTGGCGCAGCAGTAGTTTCAGAGGAACAGGGTTGACTTCTTGGAATGGCCCGCACAGTCTCCAGACCTCAATCCAATAGAGAATTTGTGGTGTGATGTGAAAAAGGCAGTTTCTGTTGCTAATCCAACAAATAATAATCAGCTTTGGGAAACAGTAGAGCGGGCATGGAAATCGATACCAAAGGAACGATGTGAACATCTCGTTAATTCAATGCATCGCCGATGTGTAGCTGTAATATCGAACAAAGGATACGCAACTAAATACTAATTATTTTATAATTAATTTTCTCATTATTTTCAATTTAAACCAGATGAAAAGAAGAACTAATTGAAATATATTTTTGTTAAATAAAATCACACTACTATTTTTTTGACCGTCCATATGCATAAGGTCGTATGAAATAATTTTTTTATAACGTTGTAATGAATTTTTTTTTCTAAGTTTTGTTTTTTGATTTCATTGTTAAGAGTGGTTGTTCCTTAAAATAAAAACAACGAAAGTATTTAAATGAAAACGTTCTATTTATTCTTCATTTCTTTTTCAATGTGTGGGCACTACTATTATTTTGACCGCAGCTGTATGTGGTGATCTTAAAGTCATAGGACTACTTCATGGGCTTCAAGAGGGATTTACTAAAACTGCTGTTTTTTGTGCCTTTGGGACAGTAGAGCCACAGAAAAACATTACAAAATAAAAGGTTAGCCGCAAAGAGTTGATTTCGTGCCGGGTGTAGCTAACATCAAGAATATACCTCTGGTTGACCCTCGTAAGGTTCTGCTGCCCCCTTTACACATACAACTTTGTTAAAGCTTTACATAAGAATAGCGAAGCTTTCAAATACCTCAAAGAAGTTTTCTCGAAGTTAAGTGACGCCAAGCTAAAAGAAGGAATTTTCATTGGACCCCAAATCCGAAAAATTCTGAAGGACAAGCAGTTTGAAGAGAAACTAAACCCCGTTCAACGTAAAGCCTGGATATCATTTAGAAGCACTGTCACGGATCTTTTAGGAAACAAAAAGTCTAACACGTATGAGGAACTAATCGACAAGTTGCTGGAAAACTACCAAAGAATGGGTTGCAGAATGTCATTAAAAATTAATTCTTTACATTAACATTTGAGTTTTTTTCTACAAAATTTGGGTTCCGTCAGTGATGAACACGGAGAGAGGTTCTACCAAGATATTTTTATAATGGAACAGAGATATCAAAACCGCTGGGATCCTGCAATGATGGGGGATTATTGTTGGTTCCTAATGAGAGAAAGTGATAGAGAATACAAGAAAAAATCACCATTTGCAAAAAGAAAATCTACAAAACAGGTTCAATAGTTATATGTAATTATTACACGATATAATAAACGTCTTACATAAAGTAAAAACTTTTTTTATTTTTAAATTTTATCAGTATATTAGTCAACAGGGCATTTTTCAAATATTTCTTCAAAGAGACTTTTGTTTATATAACTGGAAAACTGTACGTGATGTTTTTTTTTAACCTTCTAATTCAAACTTAGGAACCTTCAAAGATAACGATGCACGCATAGCTAAGACAGTTGCATTTTTTCGCTTTTTATTTGTAGACTTGTGTTATTTACATAGAGCCATGAACTTCACCTATAGCACTGGTTTACAGCAAAAATGTTCTGTGAACGCCACTATCCAATTTGTATGTGGAATCGCTCGCTGATTTCGAAAATCGAATACATTTTTTTTATGGATACGTTTTTGAGATATTTGCAATTTACCGTTATTCGACCAAAAAAAAGGTGTCTTCATTTAATTATGTATATCTCACTGACCAGTTGAGCAATCTTACTGCAAATTATAGAAAATAAAAGTGAATGAAATTTCCTAAAAATATTGTCTACTCCATTTTTCCATATGCCCTAAATTCATTAATTTTTTTAAGGCCAACATTTTATTTTTTCGCGATCAAGCTATATATAAGGATAAATGCCCCTTGAAAGTTCATAATATCTGTAAGGCTCGCCGGTTCCAGTTTTTAATTACAATATAGGAAACCGTGAGCTATTTTTAAAAATAAAATGAGTAAACGTACGCGAGAATTTGAGTGTCCGATCCGGATATGTTCTGTGACATATGCGGTGAATATACTCTTGTACGGCATCGGAGGCAGTTTAGAGATTCGATACAATCTATGTATATATTCAAAATATTTTAGTATTGAGCCTAAAAATATTGATAAACCATGGACTCCGAATATTTTGTGTTCATTGTGTTCAATGGGACTCAGGATCAACAAAGTACGTATTAAAATTATGAAACTATGCTTCTTTTTATTTAATAGTAATTTTTAATTGTTTTCTTTTTCAGGCGAGACATGAAATTTACGCCCCTATTATGCATTTCGACTCGGATTGAAATTTTCTCCGTTTGGCAACTTTGGTATCATGCGTTCCGTTCCCGTTCAGTTCAACTTCGATATGCCTATCATGCATTTCGATCGTAGCTCCGTTTTGCTAAGTTGCAATTTTGTTAACGGAGAACTTTTTGTGTTTTTATTTTGATTTTAAAATGTTATTATTTGAGTGATATTTTTGGAATTTTATAAACATGTAAGTAAAACTTGTATTTTAAAATTGTAAAACAAACGATATTTTCAGTTTTTGCGCTCTAATGATATTTTTTGATATGCTTTCACGTCAAAAACAACAACACCACAGCAGTACGTAAAATTAGCAGAAATAATGGAGAAAAAGCCAGATATAGCTAACGGTTTCCACAAGGGACCTAAGGAAGATGTGCAGGCTTTTTGGCAAGAGGTGGCTTCTAATTTAAATGCACTTGGTCCACCATCTAAGGACTCACATGCGTGGAGAAAAGTAAGTAAGTGTAAACGAATTTTTAAATTCTAACGTTTCGTTACAGGTTTGGATTGACTGGAAGTGCTACATCAAACGCAAGCTGACCAGCAATAAAAAGGAAATGCTGAGCACAGGGGGAGGGCAATGTCGTCTACAACGCATAAGTCCACTGGAGGAGAAAATTGTGCGCTTAACAGGGTTAGAAATAAGTACAAGTGGGATACAAAATACCTTCGATTATGGCGATAGCACGCAAGACGCAGCCCGAACCTCCGAAAAGGACATTTCGGCACAATCAGACCATGTGCCGTCAACCAGCAGAGCTGCTTACAGAGAGAGACGACCAGAAAAGGAGAGCGCAGCATCATTACTAAGGGAGCAACAAGATCTTCAGAAAGAATTTTATGCCGAAACAAAACTTCATTATGAATCTATAGATGGCAAAATGAAGGAAACGGTAACATATTTTATATATTGACACGGTTGACTGTGCCATTCCAACATTGTGATCTGCGCCAACTCCATGCTGGTAACTGCCTTCCGCAAAAAATCTTAAAGCGGATACTACAATGTTAAGCGGAGATAACGAGGACAAAGTACTTGCCGTCGTTTCTTCCGCAAACGCATCAAGGACATACTTGAATGCGTCCTTATTCAGACGAAAGTTTTTTTTTAAATCTAAATAAGTAAACAAATTGTAAGAAAATTGTCTACTTTCACGTGAAATTACTTACAGTCCGTCATAGCTGTTAACAGTTACTGTTTTGCAAACCCGTTTTATTCCGCTAGTTTGTCTTATTTTGCCTTTATATGCGAGAGAGTGAACAAGTGAATAGTAGCGCTTGGAAAAAATAATAGAAACAAAACGTGTTTGTTAATATTTCTGCTTTTTAAAAGGTAAAAAATTTGTTTTTGATGCTTCTAATTGTGTTTTAAAATAAT